GAGTAAAGCGGTTGAAATTTGTTTACATTACACAGAATTTGCGCAGGCGATTTTTCAAACACAAATCTTTTGGGAAAAATACACTTTTAGAATTTAAATACACAAAAACACAATACATTGCCCAATTGTTTGATAACGTATAAAAGATGATATTACACTGAGTAAATGAATACCAAACATGATGCGCTTTAAAATTGCACATGCCTGTGCAATGGCAGTAAAGTACATACATTTTTAGTATTGATAGGTGATGCTTTAACCTCCTTAGCGGTAATCCCCGAGTGTAGCTCGGGGTAAAATTTCTATACCAAAAGCGATAACCCCCGAGCTACACTCGGGCTTACCATGCGGCGCTGTTCTGGGTGTCCCTGCAGCACTTACCTTGTCCTTCGCTCCCGCGATGTGTCCCCTGCAATCTCCTCCGGCCGATGCTGGCATCCGGCTTCTGTGTTCCGGTCCCTGTGACGTTGGGACGTACGGGCGCCAGAAAACTTGAAATTTTTTAAAAAAAAAGGCATTTTTGCTGTCATTGCTGTTTCAATGCATTTCACATATATTTTGTCCCTAGTGCTTTGTCCTGTGCCCTGCCTGCATTTTGAATGTTCTTTCTGCCTGGAAACTGAGAAAAGTCCATGGCGTCCAAAAAGCGTCCCTTTACCTCAAAAGCGGTTTTTAGAGCAGCGATAGTAAACCACTTGCAGAATTGAGTGATAATTTTCGTGGGGAAATTCGTCATCAGACACTGAAAACGATTTTGCGACTTTGCTCAGCGATGTGCGAATTTGCCTCTGTATTTCAAATTTCAGTGTTTTTGGTTTGATTATATTATTGAATTAAATTTATTATATTTATTTTTTATGATTATTTATCAAATTATAATTTATGATTTCGTGTTTCAAATTTTATCATATCCGAATGTTTAATAGACTCTTGTTCGTACAGATTTCAGTGAGTTATTCCTAAAAATTACAGCCTACAATAAAAAACTACATATTTCCATGCAAAAAAATGGTACCGCTTTCAGCACAAACAAATCGGAAAGAATCATACTACCAAGGAGGTTAAAAGCCTTTACAGGTCACCAATACATATTCACACAGAAAGTCTAGTACTAGAATTACTGCCCTTGATCTGACGATCACGGTGACACCTCACATGCATGGTGCCTCTGTTTACATACCGACATGGGACCAACACTTGAGTTGCCTTTGCACACGTGCATGGGAAGGGGCAGGGGTTTTTTTTTTTTGGTTTTATTTTGACTTTTTTTTGGATCAATTTTATTGCTATCACAGGGAATATAAATAACCCGTGATAGCAATAGGCAGTGAAAGGTACTCTTTTCTGAGAAATCTGGGGTCTATTAGATTCTAGATATCTCATCTGCCCTTAAAGTATCTGATCATACCAAGATCAGTGCGATCAGATGCTTCCCCAATTTAAAAATGGCGCTGTTAAAGTCTGGCAAAACGGAAATGATGAAATGCTCGTAGCTTCCAGTCTTAGACCATAGAGATGATTGGAGCCACTCTGATCTCTGATCAGCTTTATGATCAGCCAGCGAAACTGATCAGCCAGCGAAACTGCCGCTGCATTCTCGGATTCAGGAGAGCCCAAGAAAACTGTGGCAGGAGGAGGGGCTGCTAATTGGCCACTAGGGTTGCTTTACATGAAAGCAGACTGCCAGCTGAAAAAAAAAAAAAACAATATCAGGATGATGCCTGTAGCTGCAGGCATCATCCCACTACCACTCAAAGTGCAGTGACGTACCAGTACATTGCCGGTTCATGTTGGGCATATATGTATCAGCAAAAAACATGGGCATATGATGAATTGGGTCTGTGGACCAATATGAACCCAATTCATTCTTTTTTGTAATGCCCATGTTGAGGGTTAGGCCCAAAAAAAGTTTGAAATTCAGAAATCGTGACAGGTTTCCATGCGAATTGTCTGGAAAGAGCTGAATTTGGGTGGGGCGGTGATGTATTGTTGTGCATAGAAATTGCCTTGGCCCACAATCAATTGGTACAAATCTTCCATGAAAAACAGCAGAGGGGCTAAATGCTAGTGCAGGTAGTGAACGGGTCTGATCCTGCTAACACTGCGTTTTTGGGGACACTATACAAAAGGAGGCACTAGTATAATTCTGTTTGTGATCAATATATTGATCCATACAAACACTATATTAGTAATGGTGGTGATCAGCAACCTATAGCATGAGTGATAGTGTACGGGCAATCTAACGCCAGCTGACCCTGGCTGGGAGGGGTGCTAACTGACCCTGACACTATCTGATGTTGCGAGTGGCAGTAATACAGTGAAAAATTCTATATACTGACACTGTACTAATGGCACTGGCTGGGTGACAGGGTGATCTACGGTTAATAGGAGCGATCAAAGAGTTATATGCGCTGATCTAACGCGTGTGTAAAATGTAGTGCTTTTACTCTGTGCTGTATTCGTTCTTTTCCTGGACCGACAGGGGGTGGGCTCAGGCTCGTTCACACCCTGAAACAGGGACGCAAGATTACGTTGCTCTGCCCAGAGCCGCTGCTTGCAGAATGCTGGAAAGCGGTCGGCAAGTATTTAAAAAAAGGTCAAAAATACCCTACTGAGAATTAAAAAAAAAAAAAAAAATTAAGGGTTTTTTTATTTTATTTTTTTTAAATACTTTTATCAGAATAGTACAATGTTACCATAGTAACAGTATACTACTGTGGGGAGTGACCAGGGTTTTGTTTTTTTTTTTAATACTTTGCTTTGCAGGAGAAATATGTCTCCTGCAATGCTAAGCTTGCTGTCATGAACCTAACTCATTCATGAACTGTCGTGAATGAGTTAAGTTTTTGACAGCTCGATGATAGGTGCTATGATTGGCCCTATGTATCATTTGACAGCTGTGGGCCAATCACAGCTCACTAGGAAGAGAAGCAGAGCTGTTATGAATCAAATTGATACATAACAGCTTTGCTAACATTGTGACCACATTTTCAGCAGGATCTTCTTTCCGCTGTGCCTGCCTGACACAGCAGTCGCGGGTGGGGAGTGTTACCCTGTGTTAGTACAGCCAGAATAACATGCCCGTACGTCGCTTTGCCGGTAGCTGCTGCACATCTGCAGTACATTGCGGGCGGGAAGTGGTTTAAACAAGTATAAATACTATACCTTCCTATTTACTAATGCTACCAGCATAAGGATTAAAAATAATGCTGAGTGAGAGTGAAGTTGTTTTATTCATCCCTGGATTTGAATGACAGGAAGATGAGAGTTGTGTACACCTTGCACTTTTACAGTTTGAATTAAAGAGAAAAAAAAAGTTATGTTGTAGTTGACAAGCCTAACAAGAATCTTCTTGCTATTGTAACTTTAAAAGGAAGCTGAACTCGGGAAGTGTCCCAAAAAAAAAAAAAAAAAGGGCAAAGGGCTAGTCACTAGTATTGCCTGTGGTCTCCCTAAAGCTGATCTTTCTCCACTATTGACTTAGCCTTACTTGTTCTGATCTTTGTACCAGTATGGAGTGGACCATTTTTGTAAAGCACGGTTACTTCATGTCAGGATGAGAACAATAATGACATCAGTCAGAGGCAGCAGTGCCTTCAATCTCACATCAGATCTACAGCTATGAGGCTGTCTGCACCCTCACATACCAGGAACGCTCTGCTGTTTTTTCAGGTGGAATTGAATATAAAAAAAGGTTGATTTTTCAGGGAGCTGCTCGGAAAAATTAATATAGCTAAATATTCCCTACAACATTACAAATGTTACCTTTTGGAGCTCAGCTGCACTTTAACCACCTCCCGCCCGCCATATAGTCCAATGACGGGCGCAAGGTGGTTCTCTTGTTCTGATAGGACATCATATGACGTCCTGCCATTCTCACCGCGCATGCGCGGCTCAGGGAGTGCGCGGCGATCGGCGGTGCTGTGTCCCTCGGACACAGCGGAACACCGATCATGGAAAGAGCCAAAGATGTCGGCTCGGTCATGTGATCAGCTGTGTCCAATCACAGCTGATCGCATGTAAACAGGGAAATGCCGGTTATCGGCATTTCTCTCCTCTCGAGCTGTCCCGCTGACAGCTTGCGAGGAGAGGAGAGCCGGTAATCGGCTTTCCGTGGAGGGGACATGTACACAGATCATCAGGGCACTGATGATCAGTGTGCCCCCAGAAGTGCCACCTGTCAGAGTCCATCAGTGCCAGCTGAACAGTGCCACATGACAGTGCCCATCAAAGCTGCCCTTCAGTGTCACCCATCCAGTCAGTGCCAATCAGTGCCACCTTTCAGTGCCCATCAGTGATGCCTGTCAATGCCCATTAGTGCCACCTACCAGTGCCTCCTCATCAGTGCCCATCACTACAGCCTCATTAGCGTACATCAGTGAAGGAGAAAAATCACTTATTTACAACATTTTATAACAAAAACTAAGAAAAAAAACTTTATTTTTCAAAATTTTCTGTGGTTTTTGGTTTGTTTAAAAAAAATAAAAAACCCAGAGGTGATTAAATACCACCACAATAAAGCTGTCACAAAAAAATGCTAAAAATGTCATATGGGTACAGTATTGTATGACCGCGCAATTGTCATTCAAAGTGTGACAGTGCTGAAAGCTGCAAATTGGCCTGGATAAGAAGGGGGTATAAGTGCCCTGTAGGCTTGTGGTTAAAAAGCCACTTTACACCTATGAATGTGTTGCACATTTGTTTTAGGGGTCCTCCTGTTTCTAATGGGCCCCATTGCACATCTAAGTTCTTACTATAATTAATGACGACAAGTAAAAGTGTGTTTAGGCCCATACACAGTGGGCAGTTTAATTTGTTGCAGTCAACAAAAGGTTCAGGTGTATTAAAATATACTACAAACAAACCAGTCAACTTACAAAAGTATTGCAGTATACATAAAACATCAGAAACGTCACTTCTGGCAGAAACAAAAGTTCAAACTGTACAATCCAAAACAAAAGTGGAATTTTTACTCTTCCTCCCTGAGTTATCATGGCCATTCAATAAGGCAATGGTAATGCTTGTACTTCTTCCATACAGTCATTATATGAGTCTTCATATTCACTGTTTGGTTTAACCATTATAACACAAGTAGGTCGCTTGGAGCCAGCTGCAGCACCTAAATCCTGTAAGTAACAAAAATATGGTTGTTAAATTACTTTTACATTAAACCTCCATTTCCTCTTCTGCTATCATGTTTAAACAAGTTTTGAACATTTCAGGCAATCTTTCATGTATTACATTTTTGTCCAAACAAAAAAAAAAAAAAGCACCACAATGCATAAATGCGCAAAAACAGATATGAAACACAGCAGCTTTAAAACCCATGACCAATTACCCTCGGTGCCGGCCAACCCCTCAACTTCCTACATAACAGATGGCTGTGTAGACATCCAAAATCTTGAAGCCTGCTGCTGGGAACAAAGTTTTTTACAGTTTAAAGTTTTCTTTTTTTTTCGAAAAAAATGATGAAAATCTCCAAAAAAACCTGTTCACCTGTACGGAGCCCGCTGCACATAGCAGCCGTGATACCCATTACCACAGGTGTTAGCAGACCATACACCACAATATACCGCCCCTAAGAGAGTATACATCATAATGCTTGCAATGGCAAATGCTCACTAGTCAGCGCAACCACGTGACTGTGCCGACCAATGAGAAGTGAATGGGAGGCTGCTTCTTCTGGTAAATAGTACTAGAAGAAAGAAGCGCTTCTGATTAATCAGCAAACGCTGACCAATGAGTGCTTGCCATTTTGAGCATTATGATGGATACTCACTCCAGGACTGTATATTGTTGTGTACGGACCACTATAAATCGAAAGCACAGGGCATAAGAGCTACTATGTGCAGCAGGGTCTAGAACAGCAATGGGCAAACTACGGCCCGCGGGCCGTATATGGCCCGGCGGACCTTTTAATCCGGCCCGCGGAGCTAGGCTCCCGCTAGGCTGCTCTCACAGTCTGCCCTGAAGACCGGTGTAGCATGAAAATCTGTCTCCTATGAGGATCTGTCCCCCTCGACGTATCTGCGCATGTGCCGGAGATCGCCGATCGGCTGCTAATGCCTGAAACTGGCACATGCGCAGATATGTCGAGGGGGACAGATCCTCATAGGCGACAGATTTTCATGCTACAACGGAACGGCGCGGGAACACGGCGAGAGGAACGCGCGGAGCAAAGGTAAGTGAATTGACACGGGGGACTTGGGGACTTAATATGGGGAATGAATTACTATATGGGGGATGAATTACTATATGGGGGGATGAATTACTACTATGGGGGATGAATTACTATATGGGGGATGAATTACTATATGGGGGATGAATTACTATATGGGGGGATGAATTACTATATGATGAATTACTATATGGGGGATGGATTACTATATGGGGGATGAATTACTATATGGGGGAATATTACTATACTTACTACTATGGATGACACATACACATCATTCATCTACTCTTGGTCCGGCCCCCGGGTCCAATATATGAACCCATTGCGGCCCTCAAGTCAAAAAGTTTGCCCACCCCTGGTCTAGAAGGTTGTCCAGGATATTTGAAGTTAGTTCACCTTTTAATTTTTCATGCAAAGGTGAACTTACCCTTTAACCTATGACATCCTCCCATTCTAACTGCGCATTCGCGGCGATGCGCTGTGTCCCTCAGACACAGTGGATCACCGATCCACGGAAAGAGCAGAAGATGTCAGCTCAGTCATGTGATCAGCTGTGTCCAATCACAGCTGATCACATGTAAATAGGGAAATGCTGGTTATCTGCATTATCTCACGCTGACAGCTCGGGAGAAGAGGAAAAGAGCCGGAAATCGGCATTCCTCGGAGGGGACATGTACACAGATCATCAGAGCACTGATGATCAGTGTGCCCTGATGATCTGTGTAGCCCCAGCAGCGCCACCTATCAGTGCCAGCTCTCAGTGCTCATCCATGCCACCTGCCAGTGCCCATCAGTGCCACATATCAGTGCCCATCTGAGCTGCCTTTCGGTGTCACACATCAGTGCCGCCAGTCATTAAGTACCCCCAACAGGTTATGTTTTCAGGATTTCCTCCACCATGCACAGATGCTTTCAATCAGTGGCTTGGTATTTATGACAGCTATGTTATCTAAAGCTGGCCATAGACTGTTCAAATCGATTTGAACCATGTATGGGCAGGTTGAGTGCACTGTTCGATCAATCAACTTGGGTACAGCAAGACTGCTAGATTTCACATGCAATTACTGCTAGTGGCTGTTACAGCCGCTAGCAATATTCACTGTCTTCTCCCAGTGGGGACGGCTCCATGGGAGGGAGCACTATGGGGGAGATTTACTAAAACTGGTGCACTCAAATCTGGTGCAGCTGTGCATGATAGCCAGTCAGCTTCTAACTTCAGCTTGTTCAATTTAGTTTTGACAATAAAACCTGGAAGCTGATTGCAGAGATGTGCAATTTATATTGTCCGATGTCCGGAACATGCAGTGCCAGGCAGGTAGGTTTTTTCTTTGCCTTTAGCCCTGCTGCGGGCAAGCAGCAGGGCTCACCTGTCAGGTGGAAGCATTTGGGTGGCAGCTCACAGGGCCAGCCTCTCTCCCCTGCCCGCTATATCTCCTAGGCTCTGACTGCCCATCTGCAGGCCTGAGACAGGTTCAGTGGGTGCAGGCGGATGTGGTATAGGAGAGGGAGGAGAGCAGACACATCCGCTCCCCTCCTTGTTCTGACCCGGATGTGACGCCACTTCCGGGTCCCTGTTTAACAGATTCCCAGTCATCGAGGTCGGGAAAGAATGTAATGCGGTGTGATATACACTACATTACATTCAGGGGAGCACAGGGGGAGATCTCTCAAAAAAAAAAAAAAGAGAACCTGTCACCAAAAAATCTAAACATGTGACTTTTTGTTCCCTGTGATTAAAAAAAAAAGTTAAATAATTTTTTTTCCACCTTAAAATGGAAGTTACACCCAAGCATATACCCCCTCCCTTAAATTTTTAAAGGCCCCCACCCCCACATATGTACGCACGCAAAAACGTAAAGGCATGCGCTAGGGTGCCTACATGTGAAAATGGCGATTGCGATACATGTTACATATCGCCGCACATGCAATAATTCTAGCACGAGACTTCCTCCATAATGCTAAACTGATGACCTGTATTATACAGGATTTATATAGCGCCAACAGTTTGCTCAGCGCTTTACAATATAACGGGAGACAATACAGCAACAATACAGTTCAATACAAGAGGGACAGGAGGGCCCTGCTCCTTAAAAGCGCCACCTATAGAAAATATAGAGTACGACAGTTTGTTGCCGTTTCATGAGTGCACACAAATTTAAGGTTTTAAAGGTTGGATATCTATTTACTCATCTTTTATATTTTACAAAAAAATGTATAATTTATTGCTTTTTGTGCCCTAAAATTAACTTGTGTATTTTTTGCTGAAATTTTGAGTTTCCTAGACCTTTGTGATAATATCGTGTGACATGAAAAATTTAAACTGTAATTTTATTCTCTAGGATCTCTGATTTAAAAAAATATATAATTGTTGGGGGTTTTGTGTAATCTTCAGGCCTTAAATGATTTTTTAAACGTGCAAAAAAAAAAAAAAATGGGAAGTGGATGAAGGATAAGCCCGACACTCCCCTTTCCTGACAAACACCCAATCGGTGCTCAATACACTGCAAGGTCTCTCTCCTCCCTGCTAGTCCCTGGGTGTGGTGCTCGAGAGAGGCAGGAGGGGAGGAGAGATAAAAAGTGCAATGTTAAAAATATTAAACGTTTAAGTCGCCATAAAGCCCCTTTTGTTTTTAAAAGCCCGACATTACTTAAAGCAGATTTAAATATGGGTTTGATTAAAGTTTATGTTTTTTTTTATCATCAGGACAAGTAGACTATCATGAGGGACAAGTAGATTAGGACACCCATTTAGTCTCTGGACAAGTAGTTTTTTCAAAAATTGCCACACCCCTGTGATTGGTTTCTATGGAAAGTTGCACCTGATTGTGCACTATGCAGTTTTAGTAAATAACCCCTTGTCTGTGTTGAGGGGGGAATCAAGTGGCTTTAAAAAAGAAATGCACTCTGTCTATGGCCTGTCTAAGGGAAATTTGCAAAAACTTGGCTCGTTTGGGGTCTTTGAGGATTGGGGAGAGAAACTACTGCTGTATCTAGCCATTTGCTGCACTTCTACTTTAAGGAAAAATTGACAGAAAATATGGGCTCACTAAAAACACACTAACTAAAGAGGATTATAAAAATATTGTGACAATGAAAAGTAAAAAACGCACAAAACTACCATAGCGCAGTTTTTTTTTTTTTTTTTTAGACGTTTTTCTGAATACCAACTCAAAATGCATTCCCTACAACATTTCAAGCTTATTAATGTAGTTGCTAAACAATATCAGTAGGTTACTCACAGATTTGGAAGGATGTATGCATATGGAATTCCACGATCCTCACACATGACAGGAACATGGCAATATACTTCAATGGGAAGGGTGTCTCCAGCAAGCACAACGATTCTGAAATAAAACGCAATATTATTATACAGGGAAAAAAAAAGTGTGGAAGCTCACATTAAAGTAGAGCGTCACCATAACAGGGGAAGTTCCGCTTTGTGCCCTCCTCCCCTATTTTGGTTTTGACAGGTACCCAACTCCCACTTCCATTTAGATCACTGCGGCAGGTCCATCGGAAGTTCTCCTTCCCCTCCCTGCTTGCAACTTCCTGGGACATGCCACAGGTCCCAGAAGTCTGAAGGACCATTCACAAAATGTAGCAAGGGAAGCTGGCTGTGAAGCCACAAGGAATCACAGCTGGCTGCCCACAAATAAACATGCTGGCACAGAGGACCTAAAGAACTGGTTCAGGTGAGGATGGCGCTAGATCCCTGGATAGGCAAGTGTAATTTTATTAAAAGCCAGCAGCTACAGTATTTGTAGCTGCTGTTTTTTTTTTTTTTTTCCCAACAGGCCAAAGAACCGCATAGCGATTTCAGTGTAAAAGAACCGTGTTTTGATGACTGGCATCCAGGGTCCTGTTTAGCCTCCACTATTCTAACTCAGCACCGTTCTAATGGCCAATGGTGCAAAGTACCAGACATTGCTTTAGCAAATCATGAATTTACAATCCTATGAATAGCAATAACAATGGTAAACAAATTTAATCTACCTGCATGTGACAAATGATGCCAAAGCAATTACTTAGATGTCAACACAGTTCCAAGCTGCTATACCTCAGAGAAAAACCTACAGATTGTAAGAGAATGTCCTGAACCCATAATGTCAATACTATTTGCTTTGGAGTCAAGCTGGCTTTTTGAAAGCTTGTGCGGAATAAAAAGCCCCAATTAAAGCATAAAACCAATGGTCTTATGCTGCAGGTAGGTACCGTGATTGCTTTCTCCCAAGAGGAGAGTTGGTCACAGTGGTGTAGATAGTGGGTGGAAACAGATTGACTCTACCCATTCTGCCTTCAGAGGAAAATGCTTTCCAGAGTTCCCCATGAGAGATTTAAAATGTACACATAAGGAAAGACAGTTTTATGTTATTCAGTATAAAAGACTATTTTCTACGTACTTTCAACAAATGGAAAAGGTAATGTGTGTGCGCCTCAGTAAAGAATGAAATACAAAAAACAACAAGCTAATAGACAATTACGTAAGTTTCTACACGCCCTGTTTACAATACAATGTGCAGAAAAAAATGCAAGTCAATGGACATTATGCGAGTGACTAACTTACCCCTTTTCTCCTTTGTTGATGAACTTCTGCACCTCTTTTACACCTCTCCGAATATTCTTCTGTTTGACAGCTGAAAAGAAAGAAAAAAAATGAAATGGATGACAACCTGTTAATGCTCATCAGATATGCACCACATGTATTTTACGCCATTATATTTGCCTTTAAATAGTAATAACACCGAAAATATCAAAAAGCGAGAAAGCAGGCACCTATTTCAGGTGCATTTCAAAAGTGAACTATGACAGATTTCTTCAGTTAATAATAAAAATATATAATTTTCCCTTATGGAGGTCCTAAATGCAGAGCTGCAAAGACATCAGTGATGTAGTGGCCAGCCGGTGGAATCAGGGTACAGAGTGGGGAAGTGCAGCCACCGAAAACAATGATTCTTAGATCTGCAAGACAACTAGATTTACCAGCGCAGGTACTGCTAAGTGTTATGCATGTGAAAGAGACTTTTGTTGTTAGGATGCAAGTTTTCAAACAGTATCTCTAGCTGTCCTCCTCTATCCCTATATTCAACTTTCAAATTAAAGTGATTGTAAAGGTAAAATGTTTTTTTAATCAAAAACAAACATGTTTACACTTACCTGCTCTGTGCTGTGAACCTCCTCTTCTCGGTTCCCCCATCAGCATGTCCAGTGCCCCCACGGGAAGCTGCTTCCCATGAAGGCAGCCGTAATTGCTTGTTCCCAAGCCGCGCTGCTGCGTCCATTGACACAGACAGCGGGATTCCCCCGTCACTGACTTCGATAGTACCGGGAGCCAATGGCCCCTGATGCACCAGCAAAGCAGCAAGACAGGGAAGTGAGGGGAGAGAAAAGCTGCAAACGTGCACGGCACTGGATCAAATGAGAGCTCAGGTAAGTAAAAAGGGGAGGCGAGAAGGGATGCTGATGCCTAAACATTTTTTTTTTTTTTTTAAAGGTTCAGGCTTTAGAAACACTTTAACAATTGGATATATTCATTTATTATGAGCTCTGAGTTTATCCCCATCCACAAATTGTGTTCAACCATTGGGCGTTAGGCAAGTATTAAACACTAACTGCATGTTGGAACTACAGATAGTAAGGGTAGGTTTGTTGCAGTTACCCCATAAAAACCCCAAACGTTTTCCAATCCTGTAGTAAGATTGAAGAAAAGTAAAGTCAAGGGCAAAGTAAAGGGCATCTGAAGTAGTAAGTGTGACACAAATGTGCATCCTGAATAATAAACCTCTTGGTATTTCAAGATTTTCTGAGCTCTGCTACGTAGAATGAATAAATATTTATGAATTCTTTAACCTCCATAGCGGTCTGATTATGTCCATATTTCTGTGCTCAAAGCAGTACATTTTTTTGCATGGAAATATGTAGTTTTTTATTATAGCCCTGTAATTCTTAGGAATAACTCACTGAAATCTGTCCGAACAAGAGTCTAGTAAACATCACCCGGGTATGATAAAATTTTAAACACGAAATCATAAATTATAATTTAATAATCATAAAAAAATAATAATAATAAATTTAATTCAATAATGAAATCAAACCAAAAACACTGAAATTTGAAATATAGCGCCAAGTTCGTACATTGCTGAGCTCAGTCGCAAAATCGTTTTCAGTGTCTTTCCCCACGAATCATCACTCAATTCTGCAAGTGATTCTAATTTACTATCGCTGTTCTCTAGCAGGTCTAAAACCACTTTTGACCTAAAGGGATGCTTTTTGGACGCCATGGACATTTCTCAGTTTCCAGGCAGAAAAAACAGAAAGCATGCAGGCAGAGCACAGGACAAAGCACTAGGGACAAAATGTATGTGAAATGGTTTGATACAGTAATGTTATACTATGTGATTTTAGTGTATTGAGTGAATGAATGTCACTTTTTACATTTTTGAATTTCCCGCCGGGTCCGTCCCTGTACGTCCTGACGCTCGCAGGGAACGGAACCCGGAAGATGGATGCCGCCATCGGCTGGAGGACATGGCCTGGAACACTGCAGGGGGGACATCGTGGGAGCGAAGGACAAGGTAAGTGATCGAGGGAATCCCTGAGCAACGCAACAGTGTAATTCCAAGTGTAGCTCGCGGTTACCGATTCTGGTACTGAACGTTAACCCCGAGCTACACTCGGGAATACCACCAGGGGGGTTAAACCATGGTTTAAGAAGGAAAAAAAAAAAAAAAAGTGTGAACATTAGCTTCTGGCTTTGGCCAGCCAGGGTGTTTTTTTTTTTTTAGCTTTAGGAAACAAAAGAATGAGGCTTCAATATGTAGAAGCTAGAAAACAAGTATTCCCAAGTATCTTATCAAGAGATAGCAGTGTAGATGACCCTCTGCTGGCCAAAAATATATTGACTGTTATGATTATTAGGACTCAAACAAACCCAGACACAGGACACTCCAAATGACAACCACCAGGGATCTGCAAGTAAACAGAGCCTGACCACATTGCAGGATGTTGAATTTGTATCGCCCGACACCCTGGACATGTAGTACTAGGCAGGTAGTTTTTTTTTTTCAACCTTTAGCCCTGCTGCGGGCAAGCAGCAGGGCTCACCTTGTCAGGTGAAAGCATTTGGGTGGCTGCGCTGCCGCCCGGGTTGCTTTCACACAGCCCACTACAGAGCCAACCTCTGTCCCCTCCTATGCAAACCTCCCCCTGCCCATCTGTGGGCCTGGGACTGGTTCAGCGTGCACTGGCGGTTAGAGGGGAGGGAGGAGAGCGGACACGTCCACTCTAGTGGTGCACCGAAATGAAAATTCTGGTGCCAAAACCGAAAATTCAAGATGCACTTGGCCAAAAACCGAAATTGACAGTTTTTAAAAATTAATCTATTTTTCAAATGCAGTTTTTTGGGAAAAAATACGCTTTAATATAAAAAAAAAAATATATGTACCCCAATTTTTTTTTAAATATGAAAGATGATATTTTTCCGAGTAAATATAAACATGTCATGCTCTAAAATTGCGCAGCTCGTGTAATGGCATTAAACGACGGTACTTAATCTCCATGGGTGACACTTTAAAAATTTCTACAGGTTACCAGTGTACAGTTAAAGAGGAGGTCTAGTGCGAGAATTATTGCTCTTGCTCTGACGTTTCTTGGCGATACCTCACATGTGTAGTTTGAACACAGTTTACATATGTGGGTGTGGCCTATATATGCACTCACCACTACGCACGAGCACGGAGGGGGACGAGGGCACTTTAAACTTATTAATTTTTTTTGTACACTGTCCCTCAAAAAAAAATGTTTTAATCACTTTTATTCTTATCACAAGGAATACATGCACTCCTTATGATTATTATTATTATACAGGATTTATATAGCGCCAACAGTTTGCACAGCACTTTACAATATGAGGGAGACAGTACAATTACAAAACATTTCAGTACAGAAGGAATAGGAGGGCCCTGCTTGTGGAGCTTACCTAAAGGAAGGGGGGTGATACAAAAGGTGATATCTGCGGGGGATCTGGTGGTGATTCAAGTCAAGTGATCTGGCGGAGGTGATTTCAAGTACAGGCAGACAGGGTGGGGGCTGAGCGGACATGCTGTGGGAGTTCCAGGATGGGAGAGGCTCTGGAGAAGTCCTGGAGTCGAGCGTGGGAGGAGGTGATGAGGGAGCTAGAGAGGAGGATATCATGGGAGGAGCGAAGTGGGCGATATCTGTAGATGAGGTCAGTGATGTAGCTAGGGGCAGTGTTGTGGATGGCTTTGTAAGCTGTGGTTAGTATTTTGAATTTTATATGTTGGGTTAGTGGAAGCCAGTGGCGGGGATCATTGGTAGAGAAGGGCAGCAGTCGCTGATCGGTTGGCAAGGTGTATGAGTCTAGCAGCAGCATTCATAAAAGACTGAAGGGGGGATAGCCTGTGTAACAGTAGACCAGTGAGGAGGGAGTTGCAGTAATCGAGGCGGGATATAACCAAGGCGTGGATAAGTTTTGATAGAAATAAGTAGTGACAGGTCCTCTTTATGGAGAGATAAGGGGTCAATAAGACCAAACATCTCTCGTCTACAATGTAAAACATTAGATTAAAAAACAAAAAAAAAAAAACCCTGCCTTGTTTACAAGGCTCCGGAACCGGAAGGGACATCGCTCTGGTCCTCCAAGGGCATAGAGATGAGTGGAGGCCATCTTTCCTTCGCTTATCTCTATGCCCAGCACCAGGACGTTCTGTGGTTTCTTAGGTAAGGCTGAGAACCACCAAGCAGCAGCGGGCGGTGAGGTTATTTTCAGCAGCTGTATCGGTGCTTATTTTCATATAGGCCAAATGCAGACAGTGATGTTTTTGGCCGAAATGTTTCGACCACCAAAATTTAGGTGCATACCTAGTCTGCTTATTGTCTATTGTCTAGAACGTCACTTCCGGGTCCACGGTCACAGGAAAATGTAAAACAGTGTGATGTACACTGCATTACACTCAGGGGAGACGTGCTGGGTCTTTTAGACCCTGGATGTCTCAATAAAGAGAATCTGTCACCAAAAATCATCACATGTGACTTTTTTGTCCCCTATAGGATGGAAAAGAAGTAATGAAAAAAATTATTTTTTAATTGTAAAAAATTAAAGTTACACCCAAGCACAAAACATCCCCTCAAACAAAAAAAAAATTTGAAGCCCCCCCACCACATATACGCATGTAGAAATGTAAACCCACCCACTGGGTGCCTATGCATGAAAACATTGACTGCGATACAAAAATTACATATCGCCACGCACGCCAGAATGAGAGCAATAATTCTAGCACCAGACCTCCTCCATAACACTATACTTATGACCTAGAAAGGCTTTAAAAGGGACGCCTATAGAAAATATAGGGTACTGAAGTTTGTAGCCATTTCATGAGTGCACACAAATTTAGGGTCTGACATGTCTATTTACTCGGTGCAACCTCATCTTTAATATTTTACCAAAAAAATAGGGTAATTTATTGCTTTTTTTTGTGCCTAAAATTAACAAGTGTATTTTTTACTGAAATTTTGCATTTCCTAGACCTTTGCGGTAATAACATGTGAAATGAAAAATTGAAACTATCACTATTTCAAAAAAATATATAATGTTTGGGGATGTTGTGTAATCTTCAGAAGCC